ACTGTGTTTTTTTTTTTTTGTTTTTTGATATCTATCTCGATGGCACACACACACGACAGCTCCTCCACACACTCAGAAGGGGGCTTGTGCAGTGTGGCCCAAGACATAGGCTTGTTCTGCAAGATGATTATAAGTAGGATACTGACCCAGACTTAAGCTCACAAAATCACGTTATGAGAGCATTATTTCTTTTAAGTTCTTTTCAGTCTTTCAGATCTAGGAGAAACACTCTATTCATGGCAGAGTGACCATCTGTCCACGTTTGTTTGAGAATGAGAGTTTGTCTGGGAATGAAAGTTGAAAGGAATTTGGTGCTAGAACTGGGACAGGCTTGGGCAAATCAGGAAAGCTGGTCACCCTTGTTTGAGCTGAGCATGTCTTCAATGTCTTTCTGACCCTCGCTTGCCTCCCTTCATAACAAAATAAGAATAGACCTTGGGCATGGAGCCTTTGGTAGGCAATAAGCTAGGATTTAATCACCGCTTTCATTTTATTTATTTTTACAATAGCTCTCTATTTGTGGTAAGTGGTACTGATTTTTCCATTTAAGGTAGGGATGGAAAGTTTCCCTTTTAAGTGAACATAATGACAGTGGTAGCTAACACGTCCTGAGTCCTTACTGTGTGCTAGGTGCTCACTAGCGTGTTACCTGCATAGCTCATTTAGGCCTCATGACAACCCTTCTGAAGCAGTGACGATCACTATTCTGGCTGTATGGATAAGAAAACTGAGGCCCTGCAAGTATAAAGAACCTGCCCACCGATGCATGCTAGTGAATGGCAGGATTGGGATGTCAGTCTTGGCTTTCTGGTTTATTGCTAGTCAGATTAAAGAATATTAACTAAATAAATGCATAGGGGAAATGCAGACATGGTGAAAATTGTGAGGAAAATGTACAAATGACTAGATTAGGAAACATAGGCTTGGTGGAAATTGGGTTTTATGAGCTTGGTGGAATTAGGGTGTCAGCAAGTGTAGTATATGAAGAAAGCTGAGCTATCCCAGCAAAAACAAGTAGAAGTTAGGAACCTGTGGGCCAGTAGGGGTGACTCTGGCTGTAGGACTAGGAAGTGGTTCCCAGAGTGCCCACCCTGGAAAGGGTCACAGTGAGGCCCCACAGAGTTCTGTTGACAAGACAACCAGGAGGATGTTTCCAAAGAGCTCAAGGCTCCTGGTTCATTGGAAGAAGAAAATCTGAAGGATACTCTTGACTTGGTTCATACAGGTGTGGCCAAAAGAGTGCTGGATCCTGAGTTAGGAGAGGGGTTTAAAGTGGACCAGCTCTTCCCTCATTATCAGTCATAGTGGGGAGATGGCACCATTGTCATTCTCCAGAGTCCATCAAGATGACTTCTGAACTGGGATGAAGGTTCTGAGCATCCGGAATTCTAGGCCCTATTCTCACCTCCATAAATGTCCCATCATCAGAGTTATTCCCTAGCGGACTGGCTATTGGGACCTGTTCAAGTGTTTAAGGAGGCCTTCATGTAGGTTCTATGGCTTGTTGAGAATTTAGAGACTAACATCAAGCCTATGATTGATAAGGCAGATATTAAAGGACATGGTTTGGGTCAGCCAGTGGCATGGTGGTTGAGGTAGCTGGATCTCACATGGCTGGTTGTGCAGTTCAAATCCTGGACCTGACAGCTTAAAAAACATGCCAGGTGCATGTGCATGAGTGCCTAAAATCCCAAGAGGAGAAAGGATTGTTATGTGGCCAGCCTCCTGTGGAATGGGGGTGCTTTCTCACTTTCTCTCTGTTTCTCTCTGGTGACTACACATGCCCTGTAACAAATATAAAAATGAATAAATAAAAATTTAAAAACTGTAAAGGACATGGTTTATAGCAGCAGGCAAGTTGGCTTTCTAATGTGTTAAGCAGACTGTGTAGTGCCTTGACCCTATGCAGTGCCCTGTGGTAGAGCAGGGCCCTTTACATCTTAAAGCATGGAGGAGCAGAACCCTGTGTGTTCCCTGCAGGCATACAGGAGAAGGGAAGGGAGAGGCAGAACTAGTCATACTTTTCTGACCTTACCGTTGGGCAACTACTCCCCTGGGGAGTAGTGAATGGCAGGAGTAGAGCCAGGAGTATTATACCCTTGAGTACTGCCATGAGGGCCTGATCAGTGCTTTGGCAAAGTTGGTCTCTCGAGTGATGCACACCTGGTGAGATGTGTGCCATGCCCTACTGAGATCCAGGGAGGGC